GACAGAGAGGATGGCTGCTCAAGTACAGTCTGGGTGAAAAAAAAAGTTTGTAAGGCTCCAGCTCCACCAATAAACTGAGCATGAGAGTATATGCGTGTCAACCCAGCCATGAATAGCATAAATAGGAGAAGCTCCACTCAGGAATAAATATGAGAAGCTATTTGCTATCTCCAAAATAAGCAGAGCAAAAAGGGCTGGGAATATGGCTCCAGTAGCAGAGCACTAGCATGGCAAGTATAAGACATTAAGTTAAAACTATAATACTACCCCCCCCCAAAAAAAAATTCATTGAAAATAATACATTTGCACCAAATAGAGGGAATGAACGGATATGGACACACACACACACACACACACACACACACACACACACACACACACACACACACACACGGTGAGCATATTCTTTTATTTAGAGGGAATGAACGGATATGGACACACACACACACACACACACACACACACACACACACACGGTGAGCATATTCTTTTATTGTCTAGTGTCCAAGAAAAAGTAAACCTACGTAGGAAAGTGTTTTAACTTTTAACTGATTGTATATGCTATTGGTTACAACATCTATAATCAGAATAGCAGATGTACTAGGTGTTTCTCAGCTCCTCTGACTCCCTTGCCTCCCAACTCCTCAGCCTTCCCTGGCCAGGCTAGATAAGCTGGGAGAAAAAAAATAGCTATGAATACTGGGCTCAGCATTTCTTTATCAAGAATTGTAGTTTTGTTTTTTAAAAAAAAAAGTTTACTGAAAAGTAACAATACATTGAGACAAAAATTTTAGTACACCAAAATGTCTCTGTCTTCTGTCTATTGGAAATCTATCTGGGTGATCTGTCAGACTCCCTCAACAACAATTCTATACACAGACACTTTTCTCCTCATACATTCCTTCATTCTACTCACTCCCTCCTATCTTCCTACAAAATTTGGAAATGGCATCTGGTTTGATTCCTAGACTGGAGGGAAGGAAAAATGGAAAGGAATGGACCATTTAATAATAATTACTACCCTTTTACTGGCTATTATTCCATTGTTTGCCTACTTGTTCTACCCTATAAATCCCAGGAGTATTGTCTTTAAAAAAAAAAAAAAAAAAAAAAAAGAACCAAAAGACAAAATAAAAACTTGAAAACTTTTAAGCCGGGTGCTGGTGGCTCACGCCTGTAATCCTAGCTACTCAGGAGGCTGAGATCTGAGGATCGCGGTTCAAAGCCCAGCCCGGGCAGGAAAGACTGTGAGACTCCTATCTCCAATAAACCACCAGAAAATGGGAAGTGGCGCTGTAGCTCAAGTGGTAGAGCGCTAGCCTTGAGCTGAAGAGCTAAGGGACAGCGCCCAGGCCCAGAGTTCAAGCCCCACAACCGATCAAAAAAAAACAAAAAGCAAAAAAACTTGAAAACTTTTATTTCATTAAATACTGTTTTTACATTAAATATTTAGCTTACTAAACAGGGCTAGATATGGAAGTAAGATTTGCATAGCACCATCTTTAGAGTGTTTAAGATGAATTCATTAATTCATTCAACTTAAAAGTTTAGTTCTATTTAGTCCTATACTCTCCTGAAACAGATAGGTCATCCTGTTAACTATCTATAACACATATCATTTGCTTTTTGTTTGTCATCAGGTATCATTTGCTTTCACTGTGTTCATTATGTTCTCTGCTCCTAATCTTTAGTAAGTTCAAATTTTCCTCTCTCCAAAATATAAAACCAAACACTAAACTACAACCTTTTGTAAGTCCACTAATTTTGCCCACCAGCCATTCTGAACAGAAATACTCCACACCTCCCCTGTAAATGATATTGTATGGACATTCACTATTTTATCTAAATACCTAAGTTTCAAGATCATATGAATGTTAGTTGTTACACTTCCTAATTTAGTCCCCAAAACATACTCCATAATTCCATTATGATTTTACTTCAGATTTTTATTTCCCAATGAAGGAGTCCTAAACGTTTACAAAAATAACTTAGGTTTATTTTTTGTTTTTCATAGTATACAAAAAAAAATTTGGGGGGGGGGTCCGGTCTTGGGGCCTGAACTCTGGGCCCGGGCGCTGTCCCTCAGCTCTTCAGCTCAAGGCTAGGGCCCTACCACTTGAGCCACAGCGCACTTCCGGCTTTTTTCTTTTTGCTTATGTGGTGCTGAGGAATCGAACCCAGGGCCTCAGGCATGCAAGGCAAGCGCCCTGCCACTGAGCCACTTTCCCAGCCCCATATTATACAAAATTAAACCAAAAAAAAAAATCAACCAATACTCCCTCTCACAAGATTAAAATTTTCCTTTTAATAAACTAAAAATAGGAGATAAAAGTTATAAGAAATATCACATCGATGATTCTCTATGGCATTTCATACTTAGAAGTTCTGTTTCTCTACTAAGATCCCTGAAATATCTAAAGATCATTATATATTACAAAAACAACTTGAAAGCTCAAATGAAAACTTTGGATTTCACAAAGCCAAATAGGATCTTTCCTCTTAGAAGAAAGAAGCCAGGTTTTTATCCTTTTTATCCATAGATACTTGGCAATACTGAATATATGAAAATTTCAAATACCTTTTTTTTTTTTTTTTTGGTCCAGTCGTGGGGCCTGTACTCAGCCTGGGCGCTGTCCCTCAGCTCTTCAGCTCAAGGCTAGCACTCTACCACTTGAGCCACAGCACCACTTCCGGCTTTTTTCTTTTTTCTTATGTGGTGCTGAGGAATCGAACCCAGGGCCTCTGGCTTGCAAGGCAAGCACTCTACCACTGAGCCACCTTCCCAGCCCTCAAATACCTTTAAGACTTAGGAACACCAAGTCTTAAACCAGTAATCTTAATTATACTTTTTTAAAACAAATCAAAGACTTTTAAAATGCTGAACTGTTCAATAAGTGAGGTATATAATAATGTCATGAGGTATGAAATTCTTGGGCAGAGTACATTGCTACTAGGGATGAATTTTTTTAAATTCAAATTATCTCTTTTCAAGTTTTTCTAAACAAATTAAAATGCCAAATAACTTCGTTATTTTATGACTTTTAATAAAATGGAGTAACAAATGTTACTTCCTATTGTTAATATGTTTAACAAAATAACTTCTATGCTTGCTGAACATCATATATAAACCACATTTATCACTCACTAAATCAACATATCACAACTGCCAAATATTCTAAGCACCTCCCAAAATAATAAATAAAAAATAAAGCATGTACAAATAAATGCATAAAGTTATCAGCACAGTGACTGATTTCTAAACTTTAAAAGCCCAGGCAGGAAAGTCCATGAGACTTATCTCCAACAAACCACCAGAAAACCAGATAAGGCGCTGTGGCTCAAGTGGTAGAGCCTTGCCTTGAGCTGAAGAGCTGAGGGACAGCGCCCAGCGCCCAAGCTCAAAGTTCAAGCCCCATGACCGACAAAAAAACAAAAACAAAACAAATAACCATAAGAAACAAAAATAACAAAATATTTTAGAGTAGTTCTTTATAAAATGTATTTTAATTAGACAAACACCTATTACTTATTCCTAAATAATACTCCTCCACCCTGTTCAATCCTCAAGTTGTCACAAGAAAATTCATGATACTCCAAAAAGGCTAATATCACTTCACTTAGTATCACTTCATTTAGTATGTTATCCTAGTACTAAGCTCTGCCCATTATAGTGGACACTTAAGACTGTTTACTACTTATACCCCTACCCTCTCCAGTTCCCATCACCACCATTTTACTGGCAGAATATTCACAAGGCTGAAAGCTGCTTTTCATCTCAGCACATAGAACACTTAAAATCAGATGGCTGGCCACAAACCAGAAGTTAGAAGCTACACAAAAATAAACAACAACTTCCTAAATTGTTCTATTTTCAATCTCTACAGAAAGCAGCATAGTTATTTGCTATAACTTAAGTTGTAGCTAAAAGGTTTTCATCTAATTATATTAATAAATCGATATAATGTAATAATGTTGCCATCAACATTACAGACTAGTATGCCTTCATAGGTTCAACTCAGAAACGTTCAGTGCTTTTCCTGTTCTTAATTACTGAATTATTTCTCCATATTTTCCTAATTTTAAATCTATGAACAAAAAATAACCCTGAAAATTGACCCTAGAAAAGATACAACAAAATAGTACAAAACATCAACATTAATTATAAATTGTTAGATAACCAAGAGAAAGGTATTTGCCTAAGAACCTCAATCTAAAACATTATGTAGTATACACAATTTTGATAAGGAGAAGTGAACACGGTATTTTCATATCAAAATAGAGAGCTCTCGTCTCACTTCTGACTTGGGATAAAAAAATGTCTTCATTCTGTTTATAATGCAAAATATCACTTCAATGAAGTATCTCCTCACAGGTATAACCACATGATTGGCAGATAAAATAATTGCTTTAAAAAATACTTCTGAGTCATTTTGTCCTTACCTGCAGGCATGAACCATTACTGCATGCAGTGACTGTTCCATTTCCTAGCACAGACTTGAAGAAGCATCATATCTCTTTTTCAGAATGTGACTAATCTGTGGGTTTGCAATTCTTAAGCTATTTACAAATGGCACTCCCTTTCCACATAAGAAAATAGTTGTTACAACCAAAAATCAAGTATTTTTCATCTAGATCTTACAAATAACCTTGGCAAATCTCTGTAGCAGCAACCTCAAAATACAGGAACAAAGTCTAATTAAAGAAAGCAAAGATTTTTGTTTGTTCATTAAATTATTTTTTAAAGCCTCCAACAGCTGTCACACATGAACCAGCAGTCCACTGTGTTATGGTGTGAGCATGCTGCAGCTGCTCAGACTTCACTGTTTTTTTTTTAATCAATTATCCTTTACAAAAGCCGAACCGATTCCCAAATACACATCTTCAATACAGCACAATACCAGCATGCAATACATTAAACAGCAAACTTGATGAGAAAAAAAAAGTCCTGTTTCTTAGCAATGCTACACCATTAATTGTTCATGCAAGAGATGTAGCTGTACCTTTCTGAAGAGGACGACTTCTCAGAGTTAACTGACATCAGCAGCTCAATCTTCTGCTTGATTTCTGGAAAAATCAGAAAATATTCACAACCAAGATTGCCCGCCCTCGATTCTAAGCTTTATATCAAGAGATTTTTCTTCCTTAATCCCTTTTGTTCAGAATGAGGCCACAAGATTCACAGTACTTCTGTTAAGACTGGGATTCAATGGTGCTATAAAGGGAAAAAGCTCCAGAGGCATCAGGCCTTGCTAAACTATGCACATGACTGTTTATGAAAGCAGGAAGTACCATTTCTTTTTAAGCAGAGGGGTGTTCTCTTTTTTTAAGGTAGAACTAGCATCGTTCTACAAGAAGGATTTAAATTTTGCAAATCAAAACACAACCAAGAAAATGCTAACATCAGAATTCAATATAATACATAATTTGAGAAGGCTGCATAATAATATTTCAGTCTTCAATGAGCAAACAGGCAACCCTTGGCTGCTTCTCTTTCACTAGCCCTAAAAAATATGGCTCAGTGAATCATTTTTGTCACTTAAAATGAAATATTAAAACAGACCCAAATTTAACGATTAAAACATGTTTAACCCTTTTATAATTTGATTGCTATTAATTAAAAAAATGTTTAATATCTAGTTTCTAATTCCTTTGGAAAAAGACTACTTATTTTACACCTTAATTTCCGCCTCCTCCTTCACAGTACAGTACAAGTGAAAAGCAACACCCAGTTACCGAACAGAGAGATAATATTCTTGTCCTTTTAGGAAAGGACTGGCAATGGCACCTAAATAAAAATGTAAGCATCAGTTCACTTTAATTAAAAAATGATTGGACACCAATCTGGAAAGAAGATAACAAACTAGAAAGGTGATAATAGAGGGAGAAAGAAAAGAAAGAAATTTAACACCTTTCCTTTAAAATACTAACCATTTGTATAAAGCACATGATTTTAAATGAATAAAACACAATCCTATTATTTCATGTATGAAACTATTTCTTATTCCTAAAAAGTATTTCAAAGTGGATTTTAAAAATTGAAGATTTCATAATAAAAAGTTTACATACTAAAAAGAAGTCACAGACAAGATTTCATAGCAGACCTCAGTAATACTTTAAATTTTTATTCAGAGGGGTAAATAATATTTGTAAGAATGCTGATTACATAAATCAAAGCAAAATAGGAAAAAAAGAAACAGAAAAACTAGTATAAATGCTATACTTGTATAGAATAATATTGTCAAAATTGTTAAAATAATGGATTCTCCGAATTGTTTAAGCTTGTAACTTCATCCAATGGATGTTACAAAATTGGTAACAACTGAGATGAAAATAATAACTTACCTGAGAATTCTTAGGTGAATTACAAAGTAGAAAAAGTGACATAGTTGGTATTCAGTAAAAGACCCTCCCCATTTGAAAAAGAGTGTTAAAAAGTTAGAGCCCTGGGCTGGGAAGGTGGCTCAGTGGTAGAGTGCTTGCTTTGCATGCTCAAGGCCCTGGGTTCGATTCCTCACCACCACATAAGCAAAAAGAAAAAAGCCGGAAGTGGCGCTGTGGCTCAAGTGGTAGAGCGCTAGCCTTGAGCTAAAGAGCTGAGGGACAGCGCCCAGGCTAGAGTTCAGGCCCCACGACCGGACCCAAAAAAAAAAAAAAAAGTTAGAGCCCTGCCTTGGATTTAGAAATAAAGTCCTCCACCTTTTTTTGGTGTACGGGGCATGAACTCAGGGCTTCACACTCTTGTTAGTTTTTTTGCTCAACAATGATGCTCTGCCACTTGAACCACGCCTACACTTCAGGCTTTTTGCTAGTTAACTGGAGTCTCTTGGATTTCTCTGCCAGAGATGGCTTCCAACCTGGATCCTCTGATCTCCTAAGTAGGTAGGATTACAGGTATGAAACATCTTAATAATGAATCTCTATCATTTTTAATAGTCATTTGACCTTAAGAGAAATTACTTAACAATCTATAAAGCCTCCATATCTTCCTGTAAAATGGGGAGTAAGAATTCCTATTGGAAAAGCTGATATGAAGATTTAAGAAAATAATCCATGAAAAGCTGATATGAAGATTTAAGAAAATAATCTATGAAAAGTCCAATATTTCTGTTTGGTATGTGGTAAATTCTCTAGCAAAGGATATACTGACGTAATCATGAAACCTGCCAATTTAGGTAGGTTTTCTACATTTTAAATCTACTTTCTCTTTATCATCAACTAAACATGTATGTTTAAAAAAAAAAATCACTATGAGCTAGGTGCCGGTGGCTCACACCAGTAATCCTATCTCTACAAGAGACTGAGATCTGAGGATCGCAGTTCAAAGCCAGCTCAAGCAGGAAAGTCTGTCAAACAGCTAGAAAGTGGAGCTATAACTCAAGTGGCAGAGCACTAACCTTGAGCACAGGAAAAGGGAAAGCACCCAGGCCCTAATTTCAAGCCCCTGGTAAAATAAATAAATAAATAAGTGCCAATACATGGGCTAGGAAGGTGGCTCAGTGGTACAGTGCTTGCCTTGCATGCTTGAAGCCCTGGGTTCGATTCCTTAGCACCACATAATCAGAAAAGGCTGGAAGTGGTGCTGTGGCTCAAGTGGTAGAACACTGGTCTTGATGAGCTAAAGAGCTGAGGGACAGTGCCCAGGCCCAGAGTTCAGGTCCCAGGACTGACAAAAAAAAAGTTTCCAACATCACTTCCACATTTTCTTAATTAAGGTTTGTTTATATTTCCTGAAGGAATAAAGAATTCAGGAATGGTGACAAATACTATGTCAACAGCATATATTCTGTGTATGATACTTCTCCATATTTACACCATTCCTGGGTCTGGTTACTCCTCACATTCATTAAGAAACTATCTCTGGTGAGATCAAGACATTGCATTCATAAACTGCTGTGGTAAATGGCAGCTCATTAGTACAAAAGTAAAAATAAAAGAAATTCATAATGTTCAAGTTCTATCTCTCTTACACACACACACACACACACACACACACACACACACACACACAATGTTCAAGTTCTATCTCTCTTAAACACACACACACACACACACACACACACACACACACACACACACACACACACACACACACACACACACACACACACACACACACACACACACACACACACACACACACACACACACACACACACACACACACCCCCCACCATAATCCTGAGGAGGAACTCTGATGTCCATATTGATATGACTACCTAAAACTACTAGTTGAGAACCTTGGAATCCTCAATCCATGGTCTCCTGAACCTCTAAGTCACTTTCCCCCATGGCCACCCTTAGAATACTTGAGGGACATACTGTAAATATTTCTTCCCAGGTAATCAACTGTTACTGAAAACATGGGAGCATTTAGTATACTACACTTTTTCTACAAATAATCATTTTATTTCTAGTCTTTCCTACATATGACTTTTTCAAATCTTCATCCTATTTTCCTCTATTATGCTTTATAACAGCATTCTGAATGCACTCTTCTAGAATGTACTTTAATCTGTGAATTGTTATATACCAATTCAGTAGGCTTTTATAAGTCACATTTATTTTAAAGTCATATATCCTACCCTACCCCCACAACTTTAAGAAGATCCTTTACTATCACTACTTTCTCCAAAGTAGTAGGCTTTACAGCCTTGCAATTATCTATTAATTCAAAGATACACAGTCTCCATTTATAATTTAGACAAATAACTACTTAACAAAGTCCTAAGATTGCTTCCTTTCAAACTTTATCTGTATTCTTAGTGCTCTCTGTCTAACCACACTGCTACAATTTAAAAATGCTTGAATATACTTGATAGTACAGCTTTCAAGCCTTTACATCTTTACCACTGCCCTTATCATCCCGTTTCTATTCCCACCTGAAAACCATATATCCCTTACTTTACACAGAAAATCTGCAAGTGGTTGTGGTGAGATTTCATTATAATTTTGTTTTTATTTCTATGATACATTTAGAGAAGTTTTATGATTTTGGTTTGTTTTGGTGACACTGGGTTTTGAATTTGGAGCCACTACCTGAAGTGCTTTATCTATCACATAAGCCACATCCTACAGCCCCTTTTTGCATTAGTTACTTTCCAGGTAGGGATTTCACTATATGTCTGTAGGCCTGGGCTGCAATCTTCCTATTTGTGCTTCCAGGAGTTGCTGGGGATAACAGGTACACACCACTGTGACCAACCATTGGTTGAGATAAGAGTCTCCCTAACTTCTTTTTTCTATGGCTGACCACAAAATGTGATTCCTCAGATCTCTGCCTCACCAAGTAGCTGGGATTACAGAATTGAGCCATAGGACCTTGCTTTATTTTTCTTTAACACAAATAGTAGGGGCTGAGAAGGTGGCTCAGTGATAGAATGCTTGCCTTGCAAGCATGCATGAGGCCCTGGGTTCGATTCCTCAGTACCACATAAGCAGAAAAAGCCAGAAGTGACACTGTGGCTCAAGTGACAGAGTGCTTGCCTTGAGCTGAAGAGCTGAGGAACAGCACCCAAGCCCAGAGTTTAGGCCCCAAAACCACCCCCCCCCTAAAAAAAAAAAAAGATAGTAAAGGCCCTGAGTTCGCTCCTTAGTATGTACTACCACCAAAAAAAAAAAAAATTAATTAATCATTAATTAAACACCCACACATGTCTTCCTATTTTGCCCAGACTGGCCCTAAACTCCTGGCTCAAGCAATTCTATTGCCTTGGTATCCAGAGTAAAGGGAATGGAGCTATAGGCATACACCACCACACTCAGCTATTATTTATTCTTTTAATGCTTTTGTTTTACTACTTTCATAATTATAGATGTTGCACAGGCATATTTTTTACCAAGCTCTTTATTTTAATATCAATGACACCTGTAGGACCTTTATCAGTCATCTACTCTTTATAACTATAAAGGCAAATGATAAACTGTATGTGAATGTTAAGAGGTAACTTAAAAGATTCTTTTGCTGGGCATGTGAATTAACTAAATGCTGGACACTCAGCCCACCCTTGCATCTGTGCTCTTTTGTCTAAGCCATTCTCTCCAGCAGTCACTTTATAATCACCTTA